AAATAAGCCCTGAGTCAATGGCATAGGTGCTCAGTGCTCGGAGTGCGGATATACCCTCAGACTGTTGTTACTCTTCCAGCTATGAGACTTTTTCTGTCAACTTTACCACTCACCCGCAGCAGTAGAGCTCCTTGTGAAAGAGTTCGTCTAGGATAGTACTGCCTCCTTACCTATTTCTGCCGCCAAGCAGTAATGTCTGCATTACCGTGCTCCGGTTTTGAAGGGTAAGGGTGCTGGTGAAATTACAGGCACATTGGACTCACATCAACTTATGTCTCAGAGTGACGGGCGCAGTGGTAGTGCCCCTCAGATCTTTGTAATTTAAAGCTCTGAGTGGCACTATAACTGTTATAGATGGACGTGTAGCTTACCATCAGACGCACAACTTGTTCGTGCCGTCACTTGATGTCATAAAAACAATTCAGCCTAGAATACAATGTCATGGTCACCAAGTGGTGTTGAAATTTTGGTATTGATATCTTCCCAGTATACCTCAATACCTGTTTCTGAACCTGTTATTAAAGCTTACGGTACAATTAAGTCTGAACAACAACCCAACAACACACTGAATTTTGCCTAAAGGCGCGTTTACGCTTTCTGACCATTGCTCGTTTCAGAGCGCACAACTAAGTCGACCCGTCCTCCCCTGTCACAAAAAACGAAGGCAATATGCATACAGACAATACAACACACAAAGTAACGAGTTGCCGCCTAAAGTAGACAACAACCAGGTACTGCTATGAATTTGTGAGTAAATCCTTAGTACAATGAAACAGCATTAAATACTAAATATTAACTATTAAAATAATGGAAATCATCCATACAAGATGAATTTAATTAACCATTAAATTGTCCTTTATAAAAGTGACTACAAACAATTTAACCCAGTTTAGTTCTTGCAGGTAGTCTCGATGATGTTTGAAGTAAATATTGCAAACGACAAAATATGTACTAATGTATATTTACAAACTAGAGTTTCTTGTTCTTTCTTCCCAGGGGAATCTGCCTTACGAATAAGCAGTTGAGTTTTTATCAATATGACAATTTCAAATGCAATTTGCTTACCTATGACATAAAGGTTACATAAGGGCACAAACTTTTGGTCATTATAAAACCAAAAAGGGCAAAAACGCGATGATACGCGAAATGATATTTGTTATTTTAACTTTTTTTTTACTGTAATGTAATTACGCAGTATTATGTAGCGAAATTACAAAGAAATCTTAACTATGTATTTATTCAAATAATAAAATTAATTAAATTTTTGTCAACATGCGACTATTATTTGTGCAAAACAGTTTGAGTTTTCTATAAAAGTCAAGTCCCAAAATACCGTTTTTTTACCTATAACTGGGTACTATTAGCCAATGAATAGAATGTAAACAAACCATCGAAAAGTATATCTTTGAACAAATTTTAAGTCAATTAAGGCTTTACTTCAGTTACTCCATTCAAATAACATACACGAATTCTACGTTACATATAATAGATAATTCAAATGGGTGTGCCTGATTTGTGTGAAAATGAAATACTAATTTTAATAGACACAACGCTCATTTAAAATAACTTAATATCATATAATTCTCGTTTATAATAATGAATAACAGATAATTTTACGAGATATTTACACCCTGTAATATGTTCCCCGTCCTTTGGCAGGTTAGGTTAGGTTTAAATATGAAAACGCAGCGCGAGTCACGCAAGCGTGTCGCGGCAGCAGCCGGTGAGCGCATGAACTGAATTTGTTTACGTTTCCGAACATGTTTTAGTTCAAATTTGCTTCAGTTTAATAATCTATTTAATTATGTAAACCGAGGTTTATAACTTATAATTGTTTCGTAAAAGATTGTTGTAAAAAATTAAATCATAGAGTTATATTAAACATTTGTTAAATTAAGTGAATTGTTATACCCAAAAAGTTAATATTAAATAGAATTAGGTAAAAAATATGTATATGATACATTATACACCCAATTGAAATATATTTTCATTTCCGTTTCCATTTGATGTGTAACAATCGCGAAAACCTAAGAATATTTTCATATTTGAAAAAATATTTTATTTTCCCGCAGTATGTAAAAAAATGCTGAGGCTTCAAACCGAACGAGGTTTCTGGCGAACAAAATATGGTGCGACCAAAGTATAAAATAATATTCCTCATAATGTCAACTCTAGGCAGTTCATTGCTATCTGATGCAATATTTGGCTTTCGAAACCGAATTTATTGTTTGTTTCCTGTACAATTTGTTGTTTTTTGCTACATTTTTGTGACGTTTCTTTGTTTTTATGTTATTATCTTAGAATAATATTGATTAATAAATGATAGTTTCATATCAAACGAACTGTCACAGGTGAGGCAAAAATCAAATTCATGTAGGCTAGTTTTAGTAGTAGGTTAATTTTCGGTTTTAGTGTATATATATATAAAAATACAAGTTGAAACGCGTTACTTCCTTGTGGAATGTGATGTTAATATCTATTTTATGTTTGTCTGACGTATTTTTACATTCATTTACCGCACATTTCGTCATTTTCAGCTAAAATTCTTGATCTGTTCGCGGTGCAAGTTGACCTTGAGCACTGAAGGCCCGCCCGCTCGCGTAGGCCCTTTTGGCGCGCTTCAATTTGCCTCACTTAGCGTGTGCGGACTAGGTTTCTATGCGTTATTATTCTAAGGTTATTATATTGTTTGTTACGGGTTTTTGCATGTTGAAACTAAGTAACTGAGCTAGTTACTTACATTTCCTTCTCCAAGAAAGTAGCGAACAAAAAAAAGGAAAATCTGCCGTTAAACACGTGTTCTGAATTTTATAAAAATAGTACTGTAAATATTATATTTTCATTTTATTAAATATGTCATAGCAATCATTTATTCATACGTCAACGTTTTTTGTCATACCTCAAGTTGAATACCCCTGAATCTATTATTGACAGCTCTCGCTTGTTTGCAATCTTCTGATTACCTAAACGTACCCAGTTATACGTAGTTCAGGGGTTGGAAGCTCATATTTTAACTGTAATTAATAACGTTAAGTTTTTTCTTACTAATGGTTTAATCTGCTTTTATGTGCACGGAGAAAATTGGTTAATGTCATGGTAATAAAAATGTAATTTTGATTTCGTTACGGTTCAATTTCAATGCAGGCTTTGGCAAAGCTACACCATTTACAAATTGCATAACACTAATTTACTAATTTAACTAACTTCTTCACTATCATAAGTAACATTTCAGTTTCAAGATGAGAAGTAATTTTTATATATATAAAATGCATACATACGAAAGAATAATATTATTTTATGAACCGTGAATTATTATCTGTTGCATTATAGGCGCATAATACCAGATAAATATATACTTAATATTATTTATTAGTTTAGTATTAGATTATTATTATTACAAAGATCGAACACTTAGAGAAAATTCCTTCGATCTGTCTAGATTCGAACCAACGTCTTCCAGCAAACCATGCCAGACGCTATGCCAAGTAAGCCACGGGATGAATTACGACTTTTTCTATTTGCCTTTGTAGATAGCGCAACGGCAAAATAGTAGTTAAAAACTAAAACCAAAGGTCTGCACAGTTTGCTGGAAGACGTTGGTTTAAATCCAGCTGGATCGAAGGAACTTTTTTATAAGTATTCGATCTTTGTATTTTTGTAATAATAATAATAAAGTATTGGAGTAATTTCACAAAAAAATAAATGAATATGATTAGGTCAAACATCGTGACATTCAATGAACTTAAAAATTAATATTAAATTGATATTTAATATGTCAATTTTATTACATTAATCATATTTTTAATGCAACTATGTCTCCCGTCATCAGTAAGACAAGTACAGAAAATTTGATATTGGTCAATTTGATAGGTTCTTCTTTTAAGTAGATTAACCAACTATCATAAGGCGAAAGATCATTGGCACTGATATTGTCTTTAAGGCTCTACTAATTATCTGTCAAAAACTTGATATGTATTTAATTCATAGCTATAGTGATTTAATTGACAACACTGTCAATTGTTTGACAGGTAATAGAACAGTGGTGTAAAGTGGGTCAGTAGGCACTGCCCCATGTCTTTCTACATTACTTTTTATTATAGTAACCCTCCCTACCGAACCTTAGGGTATACGAGAAGAGCACTATGACCTGTGCGCTCACAGGAACCTTACAAGTTCAGGTTCTGACCCCAGATCAGTCAATGTACAGGGTTGTCACAAATCCGGTTCTTCGAGAGGCTAGTGCCACTCCCTATTCTCCAGATCGGTACCGGAGCTGTAGGCACGCTCATTTATCGTTACGCATTGCACAACTAGCAGTTGCTACCGCTGAACCGTCTCTGAGTCCACTACCAAATCTCCTCATTTTTTTCAGCAGGTACAGTTGCCAACAATACTGTTGGTAGCGGTAGAGCTCCTTGTAAAAGAGTTCGTCCAGGGAAGTGCTGCAACCTTACCTATTTCTGCCGCCAAGCAGTAATGTGAGCTTGTGTTTCGGTTTTGAAGGAAAACTCCGAGCATCACTGATACTGTTATGAACAGGTGTGTCGTTTACCGCCAGGCGCACGACTTATTCGTCACATTACTTGGTAGCATAAAGTAAAACTTAGCCGAACAAACAAAACATCGATGCCACTGTACTTTCTATTGCTTTACACGTTTAGTCTATCAAATCAACGTAAAAAGTTCTGTCCTTTTCTTACTGCTGACAAAAGAGAGTCATTGTCTATAACATAGGTATTATTTAAAAATAAAAATATTTTGAATTCTGAATTCTAACTATTATGGATATAAAGACCGAAAAAACACAAAAAAATCCTTCAATCTTTACTCGAACCAGTCTGTTGTCTAACCAGAGCTACCACTCTTACAACTGAGGTACAGACCGATAGTCAGCAAGTCTTACGTAATTCTCTACGTGAGGCTTTTTTGCCTAACTGACTGTCATACCCACACTGCTATATACATGATTAAATTAAAAATATTTTTTTAATTTTTTTTAGGGTGATTCCTTGGATATAAACAGAAGCTATATTCCAAATATATTACGATCAGACAGAAACATAGCATGGCAAGAAAGAAGCGGGTTATTGCAAGACAGAAGTGGCGCGGACTATACCGGACAATACGCTGAGCTTGCTTCTCCAGTACCATCTCACGTAAACCTTGACGAACTGGTAGAATCTCTTCGTGCCGCAAGCAACCACCCTTGATGACCCGCTCGAACTTCTAGACGACCTTCGGCTAAGTATCTATAGTGACTGGTCAATTATAATAAATAAGTAACGGTACGAAAATAAGAAAATACCACATCCGTAATTTGACATCACAATATAGAGTATAAAACAATAAATCGTTGTGGTAGCTACAAGCTGCAAAAGGCTACATTGGTATTCAGGACAACGACAAGAAATTGAAAAAGAATGACGAATACTTTTCTCTTATTTCGATAAAAACAACTGTATGAAAAAAGATTTATTATTGAGCTAATTTCTTAACGACAAAAAATATGCTCTATTTTTTGCCAGTCACTGTATTTACGAACCTGTAATTTTGGACCTAATGGCATATCCCACTAAGCTCGGAATTGGTTTTTTGTTGTATTTATTACGTTTTTAGTAGATGATCAAACATGAAAGTTGTTTACTAATGGATAATGTATTGTATTCAGTATTAAAGTAATGAGGCGTGCTTTTGTCAGAATGGTTTGTTTTACTTTAGGGTGAGGACAGACGAGCGTAATGTTTTGAGTTGAGTGTCGCATTTTTTGAATCACTTAATTTATGCTGCATTCCGTTTCATATTAAAGTTCGGTTCGTATCACACGATGACGCAAAATGAGAACTTCGGTCGCACTGTTTGACGTGCTTGTGCGGGTGGAGAGAGGGGTGAAGGAAAACTTTATTCGCATGATTATAGTCTATGAAACTGCCCACACTTTAATCTTTCCTTACGAGAGGATGTAGTAGCTTTTTCTTACTTTAACATCATTCATTTCATAAATGCAAACTATTTTTAATGGACAAGCGTTCGTCTGACACCTCAATCGAATTTCAGTCGAATGTAAACTACGGAACTCAAAAAAAGCAACTCAGAACTCACAAAAATTGCGCTTGCCTGGCCTCCCCCTAAGTGTACCTCGAAAAAGATTCTCTTTATTTCAGGTTTTTTAATATCTACTCTTCAAAGACATAGACATAGAAAAAATAGTCTAAAAATAAGTGTAAGCCTCATTCGGTTTCTGCCATTTCTGTCGGTTCTGTGCCGCCTGTATCCAATTCAACCTTTTTTTTTTTTTTTTTTGACGGTGGGGAAATCTTTATGGATACCCCTGAGCCCAGGGAGACTCAGGTGTTATGTGGGGACTCTCCCTCCACACTGGAAGGCCTACCCCACTAAAACCCCCCCGGGTTTCCCTCTCGCCGGTTGAGTCGGCGCCGTGGGATCAGTGAACATTCACCACGACGCCGCCCGGCCGCCCTAGCTTGCGCCAGGGCTCCCGCGCCAACGGAGGGACGAGTCGGTTGTCCTCCGACCCGCCCCCCAGACGAGTGAGGCCGTGCAATGCAGGCTCCGGAGTCCCTGTCCAGAGCCCGCTGGTCTCACTAGGGGATCAGGCGAGCAGCGAACGTATCCAATTCAACCTCGCCACTTTCACCACTTATGTCATCCTTCTAACACATCTGCGGTCTCCCACTGACATCCCTGTTGGCTTAGAAAAGAATCTAAATACAACGAAGATCATGACTAACGAAGTGGAAAACCTGGTGGAAACGACAGTGAACAAAAGTGTCATCGAAAGAGTGAATAAGTAAATTCATCTGAGCCAGGAAATAACAATGGACAAAGAAAATCAGCTCAATGAAACTAACAGGCATATACGTTTGACGTGCGTACTATACTCAAAGCTGGAGTTTGTTTTAAGATGAATCTCACGGCGGACCAAAAGTAAGAATATTCGACCAGTGTGTCCTGCCACATAACATGTGGGGCTGAAACCTGGGTGCTAACAAACGACATAATACACAAATTACCGGTAGCCCAGAGATCATTAGATTGGAATCTGGTTGGAATTACCCGCAAACACCGCAAAACAAATACGCGGTTCAGACAGGAAAGCAGAGTCGCAGATGTCATCAAACGCGTAACGAGGCTTAAGTGGCGGTGGACGAGTGACGATGCTTGAAAACATGGCTCCTGGTGTAAAGCTGTCTTCGAATGGCGACCTTGAGGCGAAAAATGCTCCAGAGGGAGACCGCAGATGCGTTGGAACGATGCGAATGGTGAAGGTGTGGGAGTGGAATTCTGTCTGCAGACTTATTCCCTGAACGCTATATTCGGCATTTTCAGGGCGAAAGTGAATATGTGTTATTTGAATGCTCCATCGTCGACCTCATCGTCACTTTCCATCAGGTGAGATGGAAGTCAAAATCTTATATTTTATATAAAAAAAAAACTAACAAAGGTCAAAAAGACCGTTCACTTGTGTTTTGTTCTTTCTAAAGAAACCATTATTTTTAACTGTCACCGGCATTATTCCTGTAAACCAGTTACCTATTTTCAAAATACTTAGCAGTAGAGCTCGAAAGGTGAACGGAAGTTATACCAAATTAATCTTACGGCTCACGGGCTAGACTATGGCAAATGTAATGCCTCGGCTATCCTCAACCGACTAACTTCCTTGCATATAATAAAATAGTTATATTGCTACATTTTTCAATAATTTTACTAACATAATTTTAGGTATTTCTGTTACTTACATAGGTACTATGGATTAATTGAGAGAGGAGAACTTTTCTTCACAATTATCAACCCAGAACCAACTGGTCGGTGGTGAGGTCAGGCATCTTTGCAGAGCGTTACATTTACTAATTATATTCACAAAATTATATAAAATAAACAGTATGTGGGCCGTCAATAGTCACACACAACTCAATTCCAACACTGTTACAGCGCTAAGAATTTGTCTTAATGGCGTCACTTCTCAAGGCTACTTGTATTCGCTATTGGGTGTTTGTTGTATTTGGAAAAATATTTGACGCACAGACATATATGCAGCCACTAACAAATACGACCGCCTGCACATGAAACCAAATAAGGAGTTAAAATAATTAATATGACTATAGTGTGGACCAGCAAGCGGTAACGCGGTTTTGTGGTTGCTGTATTTGCCGAATAGGCAAACAAGGCACATACTTTGTCACACACGCTATCTACACATGGTAATTGTTTGCCAAATACATCAAATACGCCATGTGAAGTGCCACCATTAGACTCTACCTTGCATTCAACTTGAGAACGTGTAAAGAAAATATTTTACAATATACGTTTTACTGCCAGGCATCAGGCATGGATCTAGTATAAGGCGAGAATGCCCGTTGATTACTAAGTTTTGGGTGAGATTTTTTTCGTTTTTAAAAGAGTCTCCATAGAATACTACGGAGACACCTTTGCAATTAACAAGTTTTCTCATTTTTTGTGTGGAATTGGGACCTTTATACAGGGTGGAAATTTGAGATGGGCCAATCAGCAAGGGCAGCTAAAATTTGTTGCGATTTCTGATATTTCTAGTACTCTTACCTTAATTGGTCCCATAGCGACTTTTGATACTTACCAGTAACAGGATCAAGTACCATGAAATAAGAAAGTTTCGGGAAAATTGCTTTTTATCTCGCTGACTGTATAATTTCTTTTTTAAATGTATTCGAAATTCATGGACTGCCTTCTAGGACCGTTTTCCTGTAGCTAGTATGGTTAAGGTAGCCCTTGCTGACTCATCTCAAATTTTCACCTTGTGTATACAATTTTCAATTTACCATCCTCACCCACATTTTCACTTTTCACCAAGTGACGTAAAAGGAAAGGAACCAAAAATATTTTATATAAATTTATTTATCAACAGTAACATCCAGCCACTTGCGTCGTGCTGGGTACATTTTTTCATAGTTGAAGAAATTGTCCGATGGATGGGGTCCGCCAAATTCACCACGTCTTGCATTACCATCCCGGACTCGACCAATTGGTATATAGTCATAAGGTACCTGATAAATTGAAGTAAATGTTAAAAACGTCGTCAAAAAGATGGTCTTTAGTTTTACGAAGTAACATTGTTTAGAATAACCCAAAATACAGGTTCATAACTTCAAAAGCAGTAAAAGCTTGATTTCTTCTATCGCCTCTACTTGTTTGTTTCTCTCACGAATTCGTTGAATACATCGAATATAGAGTACAGCCACTGAGTAAAACGGAATTCTCTGAGCTTCAGCCAGCAGCTACAAATATTAAAGTACCTTCCAGTATTTTTTTATAATATCAAGTGACGAGACAAACAAGTCGGTGCTCCTGATAGTAAGCAACACGCCTGTCCATAACAGTTGCAGTGCCACTTAGAGCTTAAATCGCAAAGATCTGAGGGGCAATGCCACTGCGCCCGTCACCCAGAGACATAAGTTGACAAGTCCCATGTGCCTGTAATTTCACCAACACCCTTACCCTTTAAAACCGGAACACAGTAATGCTGACATTACGGCTTGGCGGCAGAAATACGGTGGCAGTACTACCCTGGACGAACTGTTTCACAAGGAGCTCTACTGCTACACAACCGTCTAACCGCGTATGGCGAAAGTTATTCTGATTATTTGCTAGAAATTCGATGCCACTACGTAAGTGTAGTGTTGCAGAACATTTTAGATTGTACCAGATACAAGGTGTACGCCTCGCTTTTGTTCAACAACTTTTCATTGTTCATAAATAAATAAATATTAAACAATATCACATGCGTTGCTTCCAAAGTATGAGCTATTAAAGCACTTCTGTTATGGAAATCCGAAAACAACAACAGTAAAATAAAACGCACACCTGAGACAATATAGAAAATCTAGTTGTCTTCATTGACCCGGTTGGTGACCGAACCCGGGGCCTCAGAGATGGCAAGCCACTCGACCACGGAGGCCGTCAAAATATGTATTCATGAACACAATATGTAGATCATTCAAATGGAGTATTTTCTGCGTAATTCCATCGGATTGTGATACAGACCCGTGTTACATCGTCGGAGATAGTGCAATTATCCGTAACTAGCATTGATTATGAGTTTCCATTTCGGTAAATTAGTGTCTATATCAAATCCACGTAAATGTCGTTGCAACCAAATTAGCGTGATTTACGGGAATCTATTGTTTATCAGTCCGTAGGCAACATAAATTAATGCTTACTGTGCAAAAATAAAAGTCGTAACCACAGAAATACCAAAGTGATAACGTTAAATCCTTCTCCTCTAAAATTTGTTCTAGTGTAGATACACGCCTTTTACATGCGCGGATTTGCATTATCCCTGATGATATATTTGTATTATACGTCATAAGAATAAGGTAAGAATACGTTTCTTACCTGCGGCTTAGCAAAAACGGAAGAAGCGGCAACGAACAAAAACAAGTACAATAAGTACATTTTCCCAATAAAAATCAAAACGCCAATGAATATGACTCCTTATTGCTTTATAATTAAAAACTGCGTCTGAAATCAATTAAGTTTGTATTTCAAACGAGAAATCAGAATAACTAATCAATTCCGAATGGTCAAACGAATCGACAATTGACGAATGACCTCCTATGAAACGAATTTAACGTTGCAAAGATATTATAATACTATTTTCCAAACTCCAATCTTCGAAGTCCTTCGAGGTCTACGTAAACAAGCGAATTTAATTATTATTGAGAAAGTCTTTAATCCGGCACTTTAAACCTTATAACTAACCAGGCAAGATAAACTTTTAATTGATTAATTAAGTACGATTACTAGTACATGTTTTGAAAAACAACATCAGATAATTCAAATATAAAATGACACTGTGTAACGTTCACGAAATCTTATATTTGAACAATTAAGTGAGAACACCAACGTCTACTTTCACGTCTACTTTCGTAAATTCGCACAGCACGGAAGTTTGGGTTTTAGAGGTCAACAAAAACAGTTTTATATTTTCCATTTATTTTATTATAGCTATACCTTTTAACAGTTATATATTTTCCTTGACTTTAGCAATCGTGTTTTGATAGGCAAAGGCACGTGTACTTTCTAGACGAGGATATAGGAAATAATAAATTTCATAGAGCAATCTTGATTTGAAATTTTTTTTTAAGTGACGAGATCGTGTCGTGCACCAGGTGGTAAGCGACAGTACCACTCAGAGTTTCAAGTCGCAAAGATCTGAGGGGTACTACCACTGCGCCTATCACTCTGAGTTCAAAATTAAAAATTTCCACGTGCCTGTAATTACACTTCAAATTCAAATGCTGACATTACTCCTTGGCGGCAGAAATAAATAAGATGGCAGTACTGAAGAGAGAAGTCTTTCACAAAGAGCTCTACTCCCACCCGCCAAAGAAGTGTAACCGATAGAAGTATAACCTCGCATCATTGAGACTGGCATTGTGAGACCACGCGAGTATCACTCGTCCTTTAGTTCCTCGAACCTGCAAGATGTGCAATAGTCTCCCTTCGGATTCATCGAATAACGAGTCACCAGCAGCTGGATTCTTTTCCGAATCGAGGCATATAATATTGCGGGTGGGCTATCCGATCGGATCGATTCCGGTCTGAATTAAAATCAGGGCCCAGGGCTCTCGAAGGCAACGCATAGGCAGCTGATAAAATTACAACTGCCATGATGTTAAATTTCATTACGTCAAGTGTTGCCAAAACAATTTTCAATTTCTCCACTCGTCATGAAATTCAATTCGTAGACTTATAATGATTTTGTAATATTATGTAAGCATGAGTTCTGAGTCATTCAGTTTTATGTTGCTTATTTCTTTGATTCTTTCTTTGATCTTTATATTAATAATAGTAGAGGTACTGTTTCATATTAGAAATTCAACTTCCAAGCGTCAAACTAGGAACACGGATAATTTTTAGTAATTTTTCCTAAGAAAAAAAATTAATAAAAAGAAATGAGGATTGTGGCGTAACGAAACCGAGTCAAGCGGCTGTATTTAGGGCGCTAGAGTAATTATTTTGCCTCTGCTATCCTTGTTAAAATAGTACCAAAGTACTCACGTGTTCCTTCCTTCAATACGATGGCAGCGACGCGAGCGTTTGTTTTCGACTGGCGAGAAGATGGCACAGTCTTGTTTATTAAAGCTAAGTTCAAAGGAGCACAAAATAGATAACACAGAAGATAGAAAATTAGAAATAGATTTTTCAAGCAAAAGTTGGTTTTTGGCTTAGAGAGACATTCTCTCAAGCATGCGCATTACAAGATGAACTGGTTAATATGCTGCAGTGTGGAGAACCCGTATTAAAGAAATGGTCAAGTAACAGAAAACAACTTTTCGAGCGAGTCCCAGTATTTCGGTGTATAATTGTACGATATTGATATTGTATAAATTACAGTTGTAGTAATAACAAAAGAAGATTACAGAATTATTAATGTAAACTCAGAACAAAAAGATGTGTCAAAGATATTTGTCGGTTGAAAAGAACAGATAGCTGGTAACCATAACCATATACAAGGCCATTTACTGTAGTACACATCATAGTGATGCATTTAAAATAAATATTAGTTCCCAGTATCACAGTTCGGAAGTTTTGCTTTTTCTGTGAACTTTCTACTATAATCACCAAAACCACTGCAGTTTGAAAACTATTCCACTAAATCAGTTGGTATTTTGTAGTATGGTATGCCATCTAGCAAAATTTTTATTTGTTCACAAATAAAAATGTTCAATTTTCTAAAAACCATGCCACTATTAATGTCACCCTATATAACACGAGCGTCATACTACCTATATGAGCTACAGCTACAAGTTTTACTCAGAAACAGTACAATTCATTTGCATAGCATTCAATACAGCGTTCAGCCTCTGTTTCGGTTTCCTCGTTACGCAGTGCTTGTTTGCCAATGCCGGAGTAGATTATTTCATATGCACCAATGTGAAAGAATAAGGTATCTGGTCTGCCAAGTATGCGAGAGTTCGAACAGAACTCTAAACTTTTTTTTATTTACCAAACTTCGTTCAGGGAGCTCGATGATCACAGCGGTCCTGTCTGCCTCGGCGTATTGTACTTTTTATGTGTTTTTCATAAATATTATTAAAAAAAGTAAAAGCCGTGGTAGGCTAAGCGTCCAGTTACACGACGCGAAAGTTTCCGCGCAGCCGCCGTGCAGCGACCGTCCTGCTACCTTAATGGCGAATCACGTTCAGAACCGTCATTAATGTACGTACATTAATGACGGTTCTGACTTCTATTTACTAGGCAATAACATTTAAATTCTTCTGAATATTTCAACAGCGCGGTCCCGCGTAGACCAAAGACAAGCCAGTCTCGCCCGCGCGTCCGGGCAGCTCGTTTAAGTTAAAACGTAAAAGCTAAACAAATAGAGCGTACCTTACCATGACAGTTAGAAGCACGCGAGAAATTCGTGTCGAAAAAATGCTCCCTAATGGTTTGGACCTAGCGCGTCTCAAGCCGAGGCCGCGGGTTCAAAGCTGACCCCTGAGTTTCTCGGTATTTATGTGCGAAATATAATTTGAAGTTTTCCAGGAGCTTCTCGGTGAAGGATAATATTGTGATGAAATCGACACGTCTGTGCCTATAATATAATCAGCCCAATCTGATCGAAGATTTTCTATGTTATGAACAGTTCCGTATTCTAAAATGTTATTGGACTCTAACATTGCCATATACTATTTTCGTATTATTGCGTAATAAATTTTATTATAATAAGTAAATAAAAGTATTTCATAAAAGTATACTTTACATAAAAATTTTATTAGGTACGAAAAAAACTTTATTGTTACTGTATACCTCTGTAGATTATCAATATGTTTTTGTTGAAAATAAGTAAATAAGATGTTATTGTTTTTGAAATGGAGTTTCATTTCGACATTTTACTTATTTTTGTGTATATATTTGCTTGCATCATAGCAGTAAGTACCTTAACATTTAACTCTATTTTTTCTAATTTGTCGATTTCTGTGACCTTGTGATTAGCTCTGTAAGCGCTTGATGCGAGGGTTCCAGGTTCAACTAAATTAATCATCTTAATTAGTTCTGGTAATTTCGTCACTCTATCACTCATTATTACGCAGCAGTAGAGCGAAGTTCTGCCACCACCGAAAAATAAGGCGACCTGAAGGCTCTTAACCACCCCCTTTTATCCGGTGACGCAAAATAGGCTTAATTGACATTGCCTCAGAAAGGAGGCGAATTGTTGTAACGAAATAGTACAAAGCATAATTAACTTTATGTCAAACTAGATTCGAGCCAAAAAATTTTAGAGAATTCTCGCGTAGTCTCGGGACTTTCCGCAGCTATCGGCTAAAATTTCATTACGCTGTGTACAAAAAAAAATTGCTTCCATTCCATTCGCCTCAATCTCTTAGTTATTTTTTTTTAATTGGCGCGAAATGGAACCGTATTAAACTTAAATGACGTTTAATAGATGTAGAATAGAATTGATTGAAATTTAACTACAAATTTTCAGCGTTCAATGGAGATTTTAAATTCATAATCCGTCATGATTTTTTTGACTATTTTTATTTTTATATACACTACGGTACTTTTAATGATACCTAGTAACAGGACGAGCAATTCGTGTGCCTGGTGGTAAGCGACACGCCTGTCCATTAAATTACAAAAATCTGAGGGACACTGCCACTGCGCTCGTCACTCTGAGACTGATGTACAGTGGGTGGCCAAATTATTAGGGACAACATTCATACATTATGTAGCTTTTAGTATAAGTAATTTAGGAGCAAAGAAATGCATTCCCACATGGTATTTTTTTTTGACATTGTTCCTGGTATCATTACTTACGTTTATGATAAGTGGCAACACTTGAAACATGTGTCATTTTTTATATGAAGTCAACATAACGCGCTGTTACTTCTAAATTGGCTGACGTGTGTTGAAAATTGCTGCTTTTGGAACATTGTAAAATATTTTTTAATTGTTTTTCTAAATTTTTTGGCGTTGAGAATAATTGATAAGTAAGTAACATTTCTTTTTGCATTAATCTGATGAATATTATGAGTGAATTTGAATGTTATTTAGAATACGACGTCATGACCTCCAATTTGCTTTTTTTTAGCATGGGTAAGGGTGCAGACACGTCCCCAAGAAAGTGTAGAGAGATTCAGACGTTGCTACTTCACTCCACACATTCACAGAGAGCCATAGCAACAAGTGTTTCGAAGTCTGTGGTTAACAGAATAAAAATTAAAATGGAGCAAAACAAGCTCTTGGAAGCAGACCGTGTCGGAAAATGTGGCAGAAAAAGAATCACCACTCCTCGTACTGATCGTAAGATTAGGGACATCTGCCTCCAGAATCGGAAAAAGAGTGCTGCTCGTTTGACATCAATTATAAACAATGAAGGGATAAATATTTCAAAAAGGACAGTCCGCAGGCGGTTAGCCGAGGAAAACCTGATTGGTCGTCGGCCAATAAAAAAACCACGGCTCACCGCGGCCATGACGATGAAGCGACTAAAATGGGCTAGAGAACATCGTAATATGACTGTTGTTGACTGGAATCGAGTAAGTACAACACTTTTTTAAATAGTTCTGTTTGCCAATAATGATTTTTTATGATTATTGTAATATTTTACAGGTATGCTTCTCCGACGAATCGACATTTCAGATTTTGGTGGACAAAAGTTCATTCGTCCGACGACGCCCTGGGGAGCAGTTCCATCCAGACTGCCTTGTGGAGCGGGTCAAACATCCGATTAGTGTCATGGTGTGGTCTGTGATCTCTGCGAAGGGCATGGGGCGCCTATACATTGTAGAAGGGACCATGAGGCAAGACCAATACAAGCGAGTCCTGGAATCTCGGCTACTGCCACAGCTCGAAGAATGGTTCCCTGGTGATGAAGACTGCATTTTTATGCACGATTCGGCACCTTGCCACAAAGCCAGGAGTGTTACTAAATTCTTGGCCGAGAAAAATATTAAAGTTTTGCCCTGGCCAGGGAATTCACCGGACATGAACCCCATAGAAAACATGTGGGAGCTCACAAAACGGGCGATCGCCAAGCAAGTGGTCACCACCAAGCGCCAGTTGATCGAAACATTAATCAAAGAGTGGCATCACAACACCGAACTCCAACAAAATGCAAGAACATGTATAGAGAGCATGCCCCGACGCATAGAAGCCATAATTGAAGCAAAGGGTGGCATCACTAAATATTGAAATTTTTTAATTATATTCTTTATCATTAATTAGCTGACTATAATTAAGAAAAAAATAAATAATTTTCCATAATAAATTTGTTTGTATGTTCTCAATAACACACTTTTGTGAATAAAAAAAACCTATGAAACTTACAACCAATCATTTGTTTGAAAAATGTAGTCGTAGCAATCACTAAAATCTGAGTACTGTCCCTAATAATTTGGCCACCCACTGTAAACATGATTCATGTAAACGAAATAATGCTCACTTTACTACTTGACCGCAGAATTAGGTAAAGTGGCTGTATTACCCTGGACGAATTCTTTCACAAGAAGCTCTACTGCTACTAATACACTTCTTTAATTAAGATTCACTGCCATGGAACTAAGACAAATTGAGATGAAAGGATAATTCATTACAAAATAGTAATAATTAGTGATTTTTTACTGATTTCTACATTTCAGGATAAAACTGAAAATATAACGACAAAAGTAACAATAATATATCAAAATGCCAATGAGACGACGACGTCAAAAATAGAAACAAAGGCAATATTAAATAATACCATATCTCTACATTCACAATCAAATCAACAGATCATAATAAAACAGAATAACACAAATCATACCATAGAACCATCATTGATGAGTAAGGCATTAAAGGTGATCTATATACCTATAAACGCATTTTTTCATGCGCCGAAAGTAGCGCGTGTATTACGAAATATTGGAACGTGTCTGGTAAACGGAATGTTGGAGATTGTGTCCTACTACCTTCCAGCACCGTTGATCCCGTTCATAACGACAACGGCAAGTCAGATGATACCATTTGAACCTTTAGCAATGTTGAAGGATAAAATGCCAGTAGCTAGTTATAGACGAGCATTTTTGACTGCAATAAGAAGCTTTTTAGGTACATTTGATAAGTACAAGCTGGAAGACAATTTTGATGATGACCCGTACATGATGAATCAGTTTAATAGAAGAATGATGCGGTACAGTTCGGACGAAAGTACAAAGATATTAAAGAAGAAAAGAAATTAATTGAATAAATCATTTATGTCATGTTTGTTTAGTGTTATTTTTATAGTCGCTTATAGTATGATTGTGTATATCAAAACTTAATTTTGTTTAATGTTAAATGCATAGTATAAGACGTATAACTCCATTCAAACGTAGCAGCGCGGCTTGTTTGTGTGCACGCCCGCCACGCGCCATGTACGGACGCGCACATTCACATAATCTGGCGGTGCACTTGAGTTGCAAAGCGCGGGTGTTTAAAAGATTTTTTTTTATTGAAATGTATCGTTACATAGGTTTCCACGTAAGTTTCTGGGAACTAGAGAGACGCTTCGGCGTGGCGAGGTGCTAAGAGCTTCGGTACCTGTCTGGGAAATAGGAAGAGCGCTGTACGTGCAACCGGGGCAGCTTACCCAAGGCACTAGCCTTTTGAGAACCGGATGAAGTCTGTACAAACCGGCTGATCTGGAGCCAGGACTTGACTGAGAAGTTCCCTGTGCTTGCACAGGCTATAGTAACCTTCTCGTATACACTTAGGGTCGGTAGGGAGGGTCACTACAATCAAAACTTACGAGTATGTAGAAAGCAAAGGGAGGTGTGTCGTTATGTACACATACAAACTCGCATTTCATTTATGCTTCACAATCTAGATACTAATCCTCGGTATTGAAATGGTTATTTTACGAAATTATGTTTACAACCTGTAATAAAACTAAAATTATAATATGGCAGGTAACCCTACGTTCCGAGCGACTCACGACGTGTAGGCAATGACAAGCCGAACGGAAACGGAAGTTGCACTACTTGTTTTACTATACTATGAACTATAGTCTTGAATGGTACGGATAAGGAATGAAATAATGAAATTCCTGTGCAATATACTTATGCGTTTTCCGAAATCTGCCGTTATTCAAGGCTTGATAAATAGAAACGGACTTTTTTTCCAAACATGCTCGGAATATTTGCTATGTATGAAAATTAATTTTTGTGCACCGCTACTCTAAACTTTTAAATTTATCTACTAATGATTAACTACTGTAAACAGACTAAAGAAGAACTGCCGTACAACTAACTGCCTAGTAGCATCGGTATCCGTAATTGCGATAGTTAAAGAAGAAAAAACACAACCGAGAAAAATATGTGTACTATATGTGGAGTTTGGGTGTAATTTGTTGTGGTCCATGGCACTTGCAACACAGGTTTTCCCTAGTACGGAGCTATGAGTGTGTTGCGTTATTATTATTATTATTATTGTTATTATTGTATTTGTCCTTGTCTTTCTCTTTGTTCTTTTAGGAACTACAAGGACTACCCCGCCCAAAGTCACTATGATCTTTATTTAATTGTCATTCGACTGCAATACATCCCCAAAAGAAATTAAAATTGACAAAAACACCAATATTATCGCATTTGCCTTTATTATTTTATTCCTTTTTTTCTTCATCTTCCTTTTTCTTTTCTTTATCTTTATCAATATCATTCGCTTTATCTTTGCCCTCATCCTTTCCTTTTTTCTTATCATCAACTTTCTCTTCAGCAGGTTTTGGTGCATCGTCATCTAAATAGGAATGCATAGTCATCACTCCGAAAAACGGGCAAAAGAACGTAGTTTTAACTAAAGTGGTTTCTTTGCCATCACGTGTCGCATCTTTATGTTCGTCTTTTTTAATAAGTTTAATAATAGAACTTCGTAATGATTTTTCGAGTTTTTTCTTGTTTAGTAGTTTCTTTCTTACGCTATATCTTCCAGGTGTTTTTCTTTTTGGACCATCTTTTGTTGTAGGACTGGCTGTTGTTGGTTTAGATTTACGAGTAGTAGCTTCGGTTTCTTCTTTTGATTCATCCACTGTAGTTTTGCTTGGTTTCGTAGTAACTTTGACGTTAGTAGGTCTAGAATTAGCTTTACCAGCACCTTTAGAAGCTTTGGCAGTCTTTGGTTTTCCTTTACGTCTTGAAGGTGCATTAACGTTATCTTGTCCCTCAATAATATCTACTTCACTTTCAGGTATAACTCGTCTTAGACTTTTTGATCTTTTCTTAAACACGTTCCAAAAATGTCTAAAGCCATTTCCATCAATGAAAACTCTGTCTGATGGTAGCTCAGTCTCTCTTCTCATCGAATTTTGAAAATGATCTGTTACGGAGTGTATTGCAGGTTTTAGTACTTTGTATTTTTCATTATTGATATAAAGATGAGCTATTTTTTGGAGATCTAGATGATCTGGTATAACATTTTGTATTTCCATCTGAAAGAAATTCAAATGTGTTTTTAATCAATGATTTCACCTGCTTCTTGCTAAAATTTAAAGCTTTTTAAACTAAGAACTTTTAATACATTTATGAAGAAAAAAGATTAATTCATACGTCTGGTGCCATGCTGGTTAATATCCTCAGAGTATAATAATGTTAACGCAATATGTATAATTCTGAAATGGTATAGAATACCTAGTCATTCTAGACTATAGCGTGCTTCTTTAGACAATGTGTATAATAATAATTAATATATTTTAAACTATTATACACATTTCGTACGCAGTTTATAGAATACCTAGTTATTGTATACAATGCTGGCCGTAGATTCGGCAAAGTATGAAATGGAATACAGAAAAATCAAATTAGTCATTTCAGTTTTCCATTCCGAGCTGTTTCGACCTCCTCCTGTGGGTTTAGGTTATGTTAGTATATGAAAAGCCGAGCGAGCAAAGCGATTACTAGAGCCGAATTTGTTTGCGTTTCCATGGTGGGTCGAAAATTATTATGGATACCATTTTTGAATAAAAGCGAAGTATTCAATAGTGTTCCTACTTTGAACAAACAGAAAAATTAATGTTTGTAAAAGTTAATCCGAAATTAGTCGCGTTAAAAAAGTTACGCAATTAGTCGCGTGTGGTGTGCAACACCCCAAATTAGACTCGTGAAACAAAATATAAAATACACGCAAAATCAGACTTTTATTAGTTACAATATTTGAACACACTTGCGTTTCCTAAATTGTGAAAGTCTTTCTGACTTATAAAACATATTATTAATAAAAAAAAAAACAACAACATTTGTATAAGCTAATTTTCTTCATCACAATTTTGTCAGAGTAGAATCATGTGATCATTGCACATGCGTTTTAAGCATTTGGAATATTCCGCCTTGGTTTTTCGGTCCTTGATTCTAGGACATATATGGCATTGTTTATATGAAGGCGACCGGACTGCTCTAGATACTGATTCAGGATCTTCACTTTCAAGTCTCTTATGTCGTTTTGGTTTAGGTGGTGTGCGAATACCTTCGTTTTCGTTTTCACTTTGTCGTTTTCTTTTTCTTATGCACAGTTATGGTCACTTCGGTCACCGGTATTGTTTAATTACATAATAATAAAAAAATATATTTACTTACATTACGGAATTTTGTCTGCACAAACAGTCGCGTGGGGTGTCATGCACCCCAAACACGCTCTCCAAGCACAACTATACACAAACAAGCGCATATTACGAATGAATTGTGAAGTACAATCGCGTTTACGAAGCTAACCTGAAGACAGGCGCTGTAAGTTTAAAATTTAAAAACTTATGAGCCCAAAAACCACTGCTGGTTGAGGGTGTGAAACACCCCACGAACCATTTAAGGGTTAATGGGTGCTTGGTTCTAATAAAATTGAGTTTAAATTTTTATAGTAAGTCAAAGAATTACATTGGATTTACTTTCAAATATCAGATAATAATAGGTATAACAGTTATGCACAATGCAATGAATTTAGCAGTTTGATTTATGTGTTACCGTGCGTATATTCGGTGTATCAGTTGTCGTTGCTACTATAATATAAGATTTTGTTTGAAAATTTTAATTACCAATTTATTCTTACAAGATGAACTATTTTTAGATGGACGTGCATAAAATATTCTTCTTATACACAAGCACGTCCTGTTTTATACATTACCTAATACACATTCGGTATAGTATAGGAATACCTAGAGCAAGTGTATAATAAAGTTTATTTCATACATTGCCTTACTCTTTTAGGCATTGTATAGGATACCGGATTACATACATTGCCGATAACATATATACTTGTAATAAATATATTCATTTAATCGTTCCCAGACCGAAATTCAGGACAAAACACCTTTTTGCATTATAAGATTGAATTAAATGTTACTTACCGAGGTGTCCACCGATACAGACCAAGACATAACGTAGTGGAAAAGCGAGAAAAGAAGGAAAATTGTCCTCATAGCGAAGTTGAACGACCACTGAAAAAAGTAAAGCATGTTGAGGGAAAGGCTAAAGAATGTCTGCCTCTTTACAGGCATTATTTATGGGCATTATTTTTTTAAATAATAATACAGCATAAAGCATAAAATCAGTACAGAAAAACGGCAGTATTTACGTCGGAAATACACTTCCGCGTTTTCCAGAGCTTTGAATTGGATCGTTACTACATAATCGGAAATGAAACTATTTTTAATCAACTTTAAAAGGAGGAGGTTCTCAATTCGACTATAAATTTGTTGTGTGTATGTTACGCGATTATTCCGACATTTGTAAATCAATTCGATGATTTCTTTTTTCTCTTCATATTTAATCTCTTTCAAATTTGAAGAAAATTTTCCACCTCTAAGAGCGGTTGCACATGGCGACTTTTAGCAGCGATGCAAACGCGATGCAATAGCGGTGCAATCGCTAATCGTCTACCTTTACACACGCGAACGATTTTAAGCGGCGATGCAAGCGCGCGACTGCTTCGATACAAACGCGCGATTTTTTTTTAATGTTTTATTAATAAACTTAATGCTATTCTACATGCAGCTATGACTCTAAAAACCACTGCGAGTTTATTCGTGTACAGCGATCAGTTGCTTGCACCTGGGATTTATAGGCGATTGCATTGATACAATCGCGCGTTTGCATCGACGATAAATCGGCTATAAATCTCAAAGTCACCGTATGTAACCACTCTTAGAATAGCAAATTAGGGGATGAATATAGTAAAATAGGCGCCTAGTCGTCGAGTTGCGGACACCAGCCCGTTACACCAAGTACCAAGTACCAAGTACCAAGTAGGGGATGAATCCGGTTTATTGGATTTCGTTCACCCCCGTTAACCGATTTCAATAAAACTTGCGGATAGATGTAATTCCAATATAAATAACAAGTTATTGTGTCATAGTTCTCATCTGATTATGGAAATGGCAGATAAATGAGAGGAACACCTCAGCAGTGTACAGCAGCTATCTTCTGTTTAGGCTCAAATGATTCGTTTCGGCGAGGACCTCCATATGCGTTTCAGTTAAAGTTGAGGAGACCGCGGTGACGAACACAGCGAAATCGGGTAAGCAGCTTTTGAGGTCGGTTTTCTTATGTAATAAAAGTTATAATTGATTTCAGATCTAAATCGCGTACATTTGGATGCCGATAAGCAAAAATTAAATAATATAATGATCTGTACTTAATGATTTTGAGAAAAAAAGAGTGTTCTGGAAATACACGAGTTCACTTAGACTCTTTTTTTAAGTACCTAAGTGCGCATTTGACCTCCATCTCATCTGGTGGAAAGTGACGTGTACATCTAAATAATGCCTATTCACTCTCGCCTTCAAAAGGTCCAAGTTATAACTTTCAAGGAACAAGTCTGCAGGCAGGGAATTCCACGTTCGCCATATAAATGTGGAAGCAAAACGCTTCGTGCGATCTATGAGTGTTTAATAATAACTTCCGGTCAAAATTTATTTGTCGCCATTTTTCATTATGGCTGCCTTACAAACTTTTTTAGCGGTTGATAAATTTTGCTCTAATTCTACTGAAAATCGACATGAGCGGTTCTCTATGGGTGTTTAATAATTTGCTGTCAAAATTTACTTTTGCCATTTATCAATATAGCCACCATTAAAGGGCTATGTTAATTTTTTTAAAGTCATAAGTGCCGAGGCCGTAGGCCAAGGTCTAGCGGAGGGCGAAGCCCGAAGCGTCTGCACTACGTAGGTAGTATACGGGGTACATACAAGTACGTACGTACTACGTAGGTACGTACTTACGTAGGTAGTACACGGGGACTAGATTTCACAATTGTTCAAAATGTAAGGCATACTTCCCGATGTAGTGGAAATAATATCTTATTTACTTATACAACTTATAGCGTTGTTGTGTCTCGACCGTCTCTTTGTTAGATTCTTTTTTATTGGAAGCTATGCCAAAAAGAGAAGTATTTAGGGGAAAAATGCCAGACAATCACTTCAAATTTCTGGTCTTAAACTAGGGAATTTCCTGTACTATGAGTACCAGAATAACGATAACTCTGAAGGCAATACCCAGAATACCCTGACCAGGACCAACTTAAAAATGTTTTTTTCATAAATTGGCTCAAATAAGGGATCGAATCTGGAACCTCCTCATCAAGCGCTCATAGTACTAATCACTGTGCCACTGAAGAGCATAAGCACACCCCGTAATCTGAAAGCGACCACGCGCCGCAGGCCGAGCCCCATCTCACCGTAGGTGGGGTGTAGGACTCGTATTTTATATAAGAACATAATTACATTTAAAAAAACTTACATGAGTTAAATGAACATAAAATTGCATTTTGAGCTAATTAATAAAGTTAATTTAAATTAGTTTATAGAAAATAATATCACGAAACGAAAACAATAAAAATTTTTTTTTATTGTTCAGACATTAAATTAATAAAGTTCAGACATTTTCCGTGTTGGTTGAAACAACTTATTGGAAATGAGTATTTTATTGCTTTCCAATCAATTGAACTTCAAACCGATATGAGTTTATATAACATCTGTTCGACATCAATATATAGGTAAACTCATTAAGTGTTTAGGGATCAAGCACGTTTCTCCTGATTACTGAAAATCATGTTTTGAATAAATATTTTTGTAACACCAATGGATTTTTTTTGGTCAATTTAATTTTTAAATTCAAATTATAAAATTGACTAGAAAAAAATACCTACATCGGTGTTAAAAAAAATCAATTAAAAAACCTGATTTTCAGTTTAATTGGTAAAACGTACTTGATCCCTAGACAATTTTGACATATGTACATGAGTATGACGTTTTCGTCCACATGCTACGAAATTTTAAATCATCCAGACGCTTCACTGACTGCTGGTTAAAATCTCCCCTTAGTTTTATTTTTTATTGGAGAAATAAGTGCGCATTTGACCTCCATCTCACCTGATGGAAAACGACGATGACGTGGACGATCGAGCATCCACAATTGCACACCTCTCGCCTTGAAAAGGCGCAAGTTATTGCATTCAGGGAAGAAATCTGCAGGCAGGAAATTTCACTCCAAAGCCATATGCCACATAAAAGAAAGCGTGACGCTTCGTGCGAATCTTCGGTAAGTATATCCACAACATAGGGGTGGAACCCTAGCTTACGTCTGGTTCCCCGATGGTAAAATGGGGATAGCCGAATGATTTCATACAATTTCATACAAAAACAGTCTAGCTGTGATCTCCTCCATATCGTAACTAAGGTAATAGACATTTTTGCGAAATTGAGTTATTAATTTAGAATAATAACGCATAGAATGATAATTTCATATCAAACAAACTGTCACAAGTGAGGTAAAAATCAAATTCATGTAGGCTAGTTTTAGTAGTAGGTTAATTTTAGGTTTTAGTGAATATTTATATAAAAATACAAGTTGAAACGCGTTACTTCCTTGTGGAATGTGATGTTAGTATCTATTTTATGTTTGTCTGACGTATTTTTACACTCATTTACCGCACATTTCGTCATTTTTAGCTAAAATTCTTGATCTGTTCGCGGTGCAAGTTGACCTTGAGCAATGAAGGCCCGCCCGCTCGTGTAGGCCCTTTGGGCGCGCTTCAATTTGCCTCACTTAGCGTGTGCGGACTAGGTTTCTATGCGTTATTATTCTAAGGTTATTAACATGTTCTGAAATAAGCGAATCCAGATCTAGGTACAACCACTTAAAAGCGATGTTTTATATCTTATTAAGTTTCAGTTTTATTGTTAAAAGTCGATACGACCTCAAATGACTTTGGTTGATTTAGCACAACAGTGAAAGTATTGAATTAATCACTTCGGAAAAAATATATAATAAAATACGGTGTGAAAACACGATTCCTAAAAACTTTCACTATAGAAAAAAAACATAAACTTACCTCGAAATTTTAAGAAAACCGCTGCATTCAATAGGTACGTTACATATAGGTACCAATGTTTTTTTTTATATATCAACTGAACTAAACAGAACACGTGTACTATACGATATACATTTGTCAAATGACTTTAACTTCATTTGAAAAAAAAATTAATTCTGAAATAAAGCCAAGGTCCCTACCGCTCGACCCAAGCAAAATGAACCGTATTATTACGGGAAATGTTTTAATTTGAGCTGAGGTATTGACTCTTAAGCAAAATCAGCGTAATTGACATTTTTTTTAGGTGACAATAAAAATGTAGGTGCCAATATCTCGAAAGTTACCGAAATGCAAATGCGTTACACCATTTGATTATCACTTTACCCTATTTGTCATCACTACGTCCCGCAATTCCAAATTTTAGTTCCAATATTTTATGTCTTGAAACTTAGTTCGTCTTCGGATTTCAAAATTCGGAATTGGTCTATTCGTTTCATTGCCCTCTGTGAAACTGAGTGTTAGCGAATTAATTGCGAATATTATTAAGTTGACGATTCTATACATTTATTTCATTGCAAACCAATCTATGTAATTGAGAGGAAGAATATACCAGCTCTATTGTAAATACAGTCTACTTTTTATTTTTAATCACACCTGCTCGTAAATAGTATGAATGCGTGGTGGCCAACTTAACTATAATGCCCCAAATAAAATCCTCGGGCTTTCTTTCTGTCCATTACAATGTCCATGGTCGGTAATGATTTTTTTTTAATTTATAGCACGCTACACGACGTATTTCCTCACATAAGTCAGGTTCAAATTCAACCAAGGAGGTTACTTAAGCTCAAAATTAAAACATTCGCTTAAGTTGTTATTTAAACAAAAAAATTATTGCAATTCAGCTACGTTCTTATAATTGATTTTAATTATCTTCTGTAGAAAAATGTAGAATTTTTTTACCATGCATCATGGCTGTACGCGTGTTTTCTTTTTACAACATTTTAGTTTGGAGTTGTTATTATCTATGGAAGAATTTAAAAAAGATAAAACCCGTCATTTGCAAAATCCACAATAATTGTTGTGTTGTGAACCATATTTGTATTATATTTATTTGCTCGCAAATGTGATGAAAAACGATAAAAATATAGAAAAGTTGACTTATTAAAACCCTCAGCGTTTGGCTTCGGGCTTCTAATAGACCTTCGTTAGTAATTTCTTATTTATATTCCTTAATACACTATGTACTAGTACGTCTCATTATAACCCTAACATTGGTTCTACGAGCCGGTGGCTGTCGATAAGGCGAGTCCCGCTGGGCCGCTGTCGTTCTTTGTGACGTCACGTTAAGCCGTGTCGTCCTCGCGTCTTGTCCCGAGCGCGTAAAGGACCGGTTCGCAACAGCAATTACAGCACTTCAAAAGACTTCATCTGTTCTTCCTAGAGCTCAAATCAATTTACTCAAAATACAGTAAGTTTTTCTTTACCCCATCTGACCTAACACAAAATTGCCGTATTGATAGATTAGTTGAGGAAAGTTGACATTTTCTCGAATGTTTTTGTCTATCATCTATCATGGAGGACATAAGAAAAACAACAGTTTAATGTTTTCACTTAATTATATTGGCAACATATTCTTACTAAAGCGTAAAACAAGACCAGCTAGCTTCCTCCATAACATTCCGTCATTTTTTTTCTTTTTCGAAAAAATAATATAGATCATAATCAACCACTGGATAAGTAATATTCAATTTTTACAAATATATTCCTGGTAATTGATTAAAAATAAATCACAAATCCACCAAATAATAAAAAAACTGACAAAATTAAAATTCATCTAACGTAAAATTGTAAATAACAAAAACTATTCAAATTATTGTGCTAATTACTCAATAACTGAAATACGGGTGCCGATTCTTTAACACATACATTTTTAAAATTAAACTATACAAGAAAGATTTGCTGTTAGGCGTTAAGTCTATACAACCTGCAATGGCTTTAGTTGATTCACACAGCATAACAGTGAAAGAGTTGAATTAATCACTTTGGGAAAAACATATAGTAAAATTCTGATTAATATATGGTGTGAAAACATAAAAAACACAACTTACCTCGAAATTTTACAAGAAAATCGCTGTATTCGATAGGTACTTTACATATACCAATGATTTTTTTTATATCAACTGAACTAACTAGTACACGTATACCATACGACATACATTTTTCAAATGGCTGTAATTTTGTTTGTGATAAAAATAAATTTCTGAAATAAAGCCAGTGTCCCTACCGCTCGACCCAAGCAAAATAAGCCGTATTAGTACGGTCTCCTGATAAAGTTTGACAAGTTAATTGTTACTGGCACACTTGAATGACAGTTAATTAAAACTTCTGACATCAACACCTCTACCATGAGCTTATACTCGCAGCGGCAATTGTGACAGATCGTACAACGCCTTTACGCGACTGCTGAAGTCGATCGATATTTTATACTCTTGGTGTGTTATTTGTGGAAAAAATAACCACATTCTCAAGTAACGGCGACTCTTGACGATTTTTGTATATGACATTGGTATATATGGAATCGCTCACAGCATAACACATGGCTGTCGAAATTATTAGCATTTATCGCGCTCTCTCTCAGGGTATGTACCTTTATTAAATCTTGCCACGGTCCTGGCAAATACAGTCCTTTAAAATAAGTTTAATTTTAGTAAAATGTGCAATAGAATCGGCATTATCAATTTACGGACCAACCAAAATTGTTTTAAAAGGGAATTATAATAAACTGCATACCTACTAAATTATTATTCAATATTTTTCGTACTTACTATTACTACCTGTTCATTTCTAAGAATTCTAAAGAATTTGTTTTTTTTTGTCCGAATTCCTCCCTGTATTAGAAATGTTGTCCAAAAGTTTATTAGAACAACATGTCCCATAGTTATTCCAATTCCCTTGTAAAAATTATATATTGTACACACCAGGCCCACTTTTCACATATACGTTTCATACACAAAAAATAGCTTTCAACAACTAACAATAGTAAATGTGCACGAACATCGTAATAGGAGGTAATTGTCATACCAATCGTAGAGTAACAAAAAATCAATGTACACCCAACCGTTCAATCAAGATAAAACCACACTGTTTAATGAAAATGCAACAGGCAATTGTAATATGTCCGAAATAATCGATTCCAAAATTTGTACTTAGGAGTAATTATTCATTAACAATATAATAAATAAAGAAAAGAAAAACATCTATTAGACAAAAGAGGTTTTTTCTGTTTTTTCTCTTCTATTTTTTAATGAAATTAAACAACAATATCTTTAAAATAACCAATCAGTTATAAATCAGGACGTAAGTTTTTTTTTTTCAAACAGACATTTTATTCGATTCGAGATATAAAGTAACTTGGAAAACGAAAAAAGAATTATAATATCAAAATTAAAAACA